GCCCATTGTTTCCCGGCATTTTAGTTGACTTTTACAACACGCATGGCTTACGGAGGAAAGATTCTTATTCCACTTCCCATGGATATAAAAGGAAAATTAATAAGACCAAGAACTATTAAGATAAAATCAAAGAAAACTCAGATAAGTGTGTATAAATAAATGTGTACATGTATGTGTAGTGTGACCTAAGTGTAAGTAGAAGTAGCAAGACATGCCTGTAATCTTGCATATTTATGAGACAGACAAAAGACATCAGCAATCCTACCATCATGTAAAACAATCATAGGCTTCGTTTTACACTCACTTGGCAGGACGGTAGTACCTCCCTGGGTGGTTGCTGTCTACCAACCTACTACCTATATTTTTATATTATAAGTTTATATTATAATTCCTACTCTAAGATTGTTTTTCATATCTTAGTGACTATATTGTGTGTGCAATTAGTGTATATTTCAATTATATTATTGTTCAAGGCCCTTAACTATCTTTTGCTAACTAGTACCAACTACCTCATATATATTCTTTTGCTACCTTAACTTGTATATTTTATCTTGTCAATTTAAATCTAGTTATACTCTAATTCTTGTAAACAACTTATATAACACCTTAGTGCAATTACAATTGAGGGGTCTTGTGCCTTTTTTATATTATTAGATTAAACTCAGTTGTACTATAGTAAATACCAAAAATTCATTATATTAGACCATATTGCAATTACTAGTGAGAGACTGGTGCTATTTTTAATTTGTATTGTTTATTATTAGTTTAAAATTTCTAGTTGTACTATAGCTCATTCTAGCTCAAAAACATAGACTCCACAAAAGTCATTATATTAGACCTTAGTGCAATTTTTTGATTACCACTTATTGTTCACCACAACTTATATTAGCCCCTTTTATATTAAATTTTTTATTATAATTCTAACTTTAAAGAATTACCTTTAAAGTACTACCTACTATCATATTCCCAAGCTCCATTATTTGATCATCACTTTATTTGTTCACCACAAATTTTTTTAGTCCCTTTTATATTGTCTCCTTTATTTTAGCTTAAAAAAACAAACCTTAGCTCATTATTTTTACATTTGTTAAATAATTCAGGTGCTATTTTTTTAGCTTTAGAATATTTACTTTGTTGATACTTAATTCTAACTATAGATTCACTACAAATCTTATGATTACAAGCATTGATCCTGATACCAACCTCTTATTCAATGACTTAAATGATTCAAACAGTTACTGTAATTACTACACAGCAGAACAATCAAAGGAAATTCTCAGAGCCAACAACAACATAACTATCTTTAACTACAATATCAGATCTTTAAGCAAGCATTACGATGACCTCCTAGCATTACTAAATTCCATGCATGCCAGTATGTCCATCATTACACTAACTGAAACCTGGCTAAAGCCTGATATTACAGATGTCTATGCCATTCCTGGTTACACAGCCATACACAACTGTAGGCCAGCCCAACAAGGGGGTGGCACAAGCTATATATACTCAGCCCAACTAGAATGTATCACTAATACTTGCACAAGGGATGAACATGGGGAATATATAAATGCTAAAATTCAAATCCAAATACCTACAAAAACCTCTCACAGTGATAAACTCTACAGAGTTCCACAATCAAACATTAGCCAATTTAGTCAAAACCCTAGGAAGTATGATAACTGATGCACGCATGAACAAAGATCACTTACTACTCTCAGGTGACTTCAATATAAAATCTCCTGCAAGCCGGACCCACACGTTACTGAATTCACAAACACAATGAGTAACTGCATGTTGCTACCAACAGTAACAAAACCTACAAGAATTACGGAGACTGTGTTTCCTACTTTACCACTTCTGGACCAACACCATATCCCCTTTAAAATCAGGCATAATTACAGATAATACCACAGACCTACCCTACTTTCCTCATAACAACTCTTGGTAAAAATACCCCAAGGACATACTAAAGTCACCTTCAGACTTCACAATGAGGCAGCCATTTAAAAATTCACAACAGCAGTAGCAAACATTGATTGGCACACTGAGTTAGAAATCTTACAGATATTGACGAATGTTTTAATAATTTTCTAAAAAAGACCCAATACCTCTAAAAACAAGCACTGCCCTAAAAAAAACTAAACAGATGACAGCTAAGAGACTGAACAGTCCCTGGCTAACACCCAGCATTCTCAAATCCATAAAAACAAAAACCGATATGGAAAAAACAGTACAGAATGGGTCACATAACCAGAGACCAAACAAAACGTTACTCGTCAATCCTAACCAGCCTGATAAGAGGGCAAAAAAAAATGTTTATGAGAACAGGGTTATCCAACTTACGAGGTGATATAAAAAAGACCCGGAAGGGCCCTATCAGAAAAATTTTTGGGAACAAAAAAAGATATCCGAATAGCGAAATAAAAATTAGCAAAATCAGATGAACCCCAACTCCCACCAACAGAAACAGCAAACAGATCAATGATTTCTTCTCCACTATAGGACAAACCTTGCCAATAAAATCCCAAGCTCAGCACCCCACCAAATGACTACCTCACTGGCAACTACCGAACACACTGTTCCTAGCTCCGACTAACCCATACGAAGTCTCCCTTATTATCAACGCACTAAAAAAACAAGGCAGGAGATTTAAATACCTCACCACCCTTTATATACAAAAAGTGTCACAAGTACTATTTACCAATCATTGCAACACTCTTTAACAAATCCATTGAAACCTCCCCTTCCCTACAGTACTCAAAATAGCAAGGGTCACCCCGATCCATAAAGGAGGAGACCAACAGAGTTGAAAACTATAGGCCAATATCCAATTTACACCCTCTCCAAAAATCTTCGAAAAATTAATTCATAAACGAATCTACTCCTACCTCATCTCCCAAACATTCTCAACCCTGCCAATTTGGATTTTAGGGCCTAATAAAAATACTTGTGATGCTATTATACCATGCTAGAAATATATACACTGCAATAGAGAAAAAAGAAGTCCCACTGGGGATCTTCATTGACTTATGTAAAGCTTTTGATACAGTTGACCATGACTTGCTCCCCGTAAAATTGTCACACTATGGTATTAGAGGGCACTCCCTCAACTACCTCAAGTCATACCTCAGCAACAGAAGCCAATATGGTAGCAAATGGGGCAAGCTCTTCCGCTCAACAGGTTACAGTTGGTGTCCCCCAGGGAAGTGTTTTTGGCCCTCTTCTCTTTCTCCTATACATAAATGACTACCAAATGCTTCGCAATTACTCAAACCCACACTTTTTGCAGATGACACTTCATACGTTTCTTCACCCAAGCCCAGTCACGCTAGCCCAAAACTGTAAACACCGAATTACAGAAAATATCTTCCTGGATGAGGGGCTAACAAACTTTACACTAAACATTGACAAAACCTACTTCATTCAGTTTGGTAACAGAGCTACAGATGTACCTCTTAACATTACGATAAACAGATCACCTATCAAAAGCTAAACAGAGGGAAAATTCTTAGGAATCCACCGTGGGTAATAGACTCAAATTTCATACACATATACAACAAATTTCTAAGAAAATTTCCCAAATGTGGGATACTATCGAAGATACGGTAATTTTTGTTCCACAGTCAGCCCTCCTGGCCCTTTATCACTCTCTTATTTACCCCTTTTCTCACCTATGGAATTTGTTTCATGGGGCTCAACAACAATTAACCCTCTCAGACCACAAAATTTCCCAACAAAAGCTTTCAGTTAGAATGATAACAAATTTCACTACAGGCAGCACACTCCACCAATATTCAAAACACTTTAACCTACTCACCATAAAAACATCCATCTTATTACTGCACCTATTACATACATTTGAACACTTAACTCTGATATAACCCTCCCCTCAAACATCTCCTTGCCAACCTCAACAGAAACATGCATAACACAAGGCACAGATCACTCTTTGATGTTCTCGTGTCCATCTCACACTATGCAAAAACTCAATGCACATAAAAGGCCCTAAATCTGGAATTCATTACCTGTAAAATATAAAGAAACACTCCCTGTTTATAAATTCAAGTCTTTTCTCAAAGATCACTTACTCACTCAAAACCAAATAAATACTGAATAACTGAACCTTATAAATTGTATATCCTATATGTTATCACAATTATATCACACAAATGTTAAACCTAGGCCCCAACAAAACTTTGTTATTTTTTTAATACACTACCTAACAGAATACTCCATTCGACTAAATTTGTACGCAATGCATGCAACCATATGACCTGTCTTTGTAATACTCATTTGTGCTTTATAGTTATCTGTTTACAATAATGTTTTATCACTGATTTCATCATTGCTTAGCTAATCTTAAGTTAATTTTAAGCCAGCCCGTAATGCTATGCATATAAGTGGCTTTGGCATGCTGCTCTTACCTGTATTTTTTTGTACCTCTGTATGTATGCTAAATTACTAAATAAATAAAATAAATAAATAAATAAATAAATAAAATAAAGATCTGTAGTGAAGGGAAGGAGGGGTAGGGGTTCTCTTAGGACTGGTCAGAGGAAGGGGAAAATATAGGTTTTGTGTATGAGGGATTGGATATCCAACAGGCATTTGCTAGTGTGTTAGATAAGAGTGTGTGGAGGCAAGTCATTTTTATGACTTAAGCTACTGTTTGACTGTGAGCAAGGTAACAATTATGAAGGGATTCATGGAAAGTGGTTAGCTGGGCTTGAGTCCTGGAGATGGGAAGTACAATGCCTACATTCTGAAAGAGGGGCGAAGATATTGCAATTTGGAGGGGCATCTGAACTGTAATGTTTGCATACCTCTGGCAAGACAGTGATTAAGTGATAATGAATATGTTTTCTTCTTTGTTGGGTCACCCTACCTGGGGGGAATTTATTATTATTATCATTGTTATTGCTGTTATTGTTATAGCAGTACAAGTTCCAAAGGTGGTACCATGTATGCTGCTAGAGTAACTGTTGATGATATTATTGCAGGTAATGATAAGATCACATCTGCAGCTGACAACAAAACTGTTGTTGACTTTGGTGGTGGGATGGTGATGGAAAGTGTATCTCAGATTATGATTCCAGCAAGCCATGAAACTGCAGCATTTCATACTGGAGTGAATATGGTATCTCATAACAATATTGAGCTATCAGCAAGTACAATGACGACTAAAACCACTGACAGCATTGTGTCATTAACTAACAATAGAGGGGATCAAAACTCTGATAGCTGGACTACTTTAGGTGGTCATACTAACACTACTGTTGGAGTTAGTGGTAAGAATATCACAAGAAATACTGAAGGGACAACAGGAGATTCTGACATTCATATAATTCAGCAGTCTGATAGAGAAACAACTTTATTAAGTGGCGAAGGATTAGATTTTAACAGTAATAATGAAATTGGATCTGCAAGCAATGAAGTTGTGGACTTAACATATGCATCATCTCCTGGCCTGTATACTTTACTACTGAATGCTGATAATACATTTACTCTGGTTGCTGGAGGTAAGTAAATACCTTGCTTCATTTTAATAAGTATATCAGTTATAGTTTATATATTTAAACATATAAAACTGTTTTTCTGGTTAACCTAATTTTAATAACATACTGGGCATGTATTTGAAATTTTTAATTGTTTGGTTGCTTTTGCTTGCAGGATATCATGGATCTTCCAGTATTCAAGGCAATCAGGTGTTTGTCTGTCGTCCTTGTAAAAAATTTGCCCAATCACAAGTTGAAATTTTAAATCACATTTCTACTTGTCACCCTGGAGACTTAGATAATGTCAATCAGAGTGTGTGGGAATTTAGTGCCTTGCCATCTTCCTGTAGTGAGAGCAGTGACGTGTTAAATGATACAGATCAATTATTTCACTCTGGGATAACCCTCAATGTAGGAACAGCTTCGCAAGGGTCAGGCAACTGTCTTGTTGTTGAACAATGTGTTGATTCACATCTGAACACTGAAGAAATTTTAGTTATGCCAAAAGGAACAGTTAAACGAAAGCTAGGCAGACCTAAAAAGAAAGACACAATAGCAACTGTAGAGCCTACCAAAGAGACTAGATTTAAAATTGAAGAAAATAACATTGTTTGCATTGACTGTAGAAAAAGTTTCTCAAAGCAGCGACAGTTTGACAAACATAGATGTTGTATGTGGCAGAACAGTCTTGAGGAGTGGAGCCATGCAAGTGTGGAAAGTTTTGCAGTCTCTCAAGTATCAGAGGATAAAATGAAAGAACCTATACTTAAGAGTAACTATAATGACATTAGTTTTGATTTTCATCAAGAAAATTTACTTAAAGAAGATGTAGAAGAGGAGTGGAGGGGAAGTAAGTGTTACAGAGCAAAAGTTAAATCCAAGCTTGGTGAAGGTGGAAAGAGAAAACGAGGTAGACCTCCAAAAGTGGACACAGTGCCTTATGGTGAAGGGTAAGTTGTTACTGAGTTTCTCTCCATTCTCATTATAAGGTCATGTAGTACATGTTAATTTATAATTTGTCCTAATTTAGAATTTACAGTACAGTCAGGTTGATTTGAGTACAGTATATTAACCCTTTGAGTGTTGAGAACCCTCCTCTATCATTTCTAATTTCTAATCTTTTTTTTCTGAAGGTAATGAAACCAAAAGTTTGAAATTTGATGGAAAACTTATGGAATTATGCTCTTGCAAAGTTAGCAGTCTTAGAACTTTTATTCTGTGATGAATGGTTTTGAAAACCGACAAGTTGAATAATTGAGACACTTACGCAACACATGGGAATCTTTATTGAAGAAACGTTTTGCCACACAGTGGCTTCATCAGTTCAATACAAAGTAGAAATGGGTAAGGAGAGGAGAAATTTGAGGTAATCAGTCCCTCAACCTGGAATTGATGTGTTCAGTCCATCACTCTTGTAGGAAGTGCAGCATAGGGCCAGAGAGGTGGCTTATATACTGCAGTCAGATGAGTCAAAGCAGGAGGAGGCGGGATCACAGTAGGACCTGCCACTAGTGTAAGTAGGTCGTCACCACCTCTCTGGCCCTATGCTGCACTTCCTACAAGAGTGATGGACTGAACACATCGACTCCAGGTTGAGGGACTGATTACCTCAAACTTCTCCTCTCCTTACCCATTTCTACTTTGTATTGGACTGATGAAGCCACTGTGTGGCAAAATGTTTCTTCAATAAAGATTCCCATGTGTTGCATAAGTGTCTCAATTCTTCAACTTGTCGGTTTTCAAAACCATTCATCACATCTGTCAGACGCTGCAACATCATGGAATCTTGGTACAAAGACTTCAACGCTTACCCAACCTTTGGACGACGACCTACTTACACTAGTGGCAGGTCCCACTGTGATCCCGCCTCCTCCTGCTTCGACTCATCTGACTGCAGTATATAAGCCACCTCTCTGGCCCTATGCTGCACTTCCTACAAGAGTGATGGACTGAACACATCGATTCCAGGTTGAGGGACTGATTACCTCAAACTTATCCTCTCCTTACCCATTTCTACTTTGTATTGGACTGATGAAGCCACTATGTAGCGAAACGTTTCTTCAATAAAGATTCCCATGTGTTGCATAAGTATCTCAATTCTTCAACTTTTATTCTATTGACTGAGTACAAAAGACTGCCCATTTACCTATTTTCAACTATACAAAAAAGTGATCAGAAATTACAAATTTGGCCAATTTCACACAAAATTCAAGAAAGGCCAATTTCAAAATAGGGGCCAGAATAAACAGTGCGGACATTCCGGGCACTAAAATAACATTTTTTTCTGTCTATTAGTCATGTCTCCAGCCCCCTCTTATATTACACTTGCTTTTCATTTTTAATTTTTATTCACACAAAAAAGAAAAGATTTACTGTTATTCAGACTACTGCATAATTGTAATAATTGTATAAATTGTCACCACATTCGTGAATGCATATCAAACCCACCAGTTGACGTGTATTGGGCACGTGACTGTGATTTGTTTACTTTTGAACGTCATCAAAAATTGAGCTCAATTTCAAGTTACTTCTACTCGGTGAACCATTCAAAATCACATCTATTTCTGTAATATATCTTCCATTCTGTCAAATGAGACCAAGAAAACGAGAATACAACCTTAACCCTTTGAGGGTCCATCACGTAGTTGTACAGCTTTGAAGCCAGGGTCCAGGCCGTAGACCTACGCCATAATTCTAGCGGCTTCAAATTTAATGCAAGAAGGCTGGTAGGCCTACATCTAAGAGAATGAGTCTGCGTGGTCAGTGTGTGCAGTAAACAAAAAATCGGGGCACCCGCATTGCATTGTGGGAATGCCATCTCAGTACGCTTTGTTCATCATGCCTCGCGGCAAGGAAGCTCTCACTCCACGGCAAATTGGGACTCTCCTCTTTCCAAGTGATAGTTCTAATGCTGATGGAAGTGGATCTGAAGAGGAATTCTATGGTTTTGAACCATATGGTACAATGGTACCATATAGTACAATGTATGGTACAATGTACCATATGGTACAGGGTACAGGGACCCCAATGAAAATAAAAGTCACTCTGACTTTTTTGGGTTATCCTAGGTTCCCTACACATATGCTGCTATGTATGATAATCCATGTAACTGTATTTGTGTATACCTGAATAAACTTACCTACGATGCCACATGCGCTTGGGTAAGTTTATTCAGGTATTATCATACATATCAGCATGTGTAAAGAACCTAGGATAACCCAAAAAAGTCAGAGTGGCTTATTTCCATATAGTACCTTGTACCATATGCAATTCCAAGGGGATGCAGTACATCCCGTGGCCCTACATGTGGAATAGACAGTGAAAGTGAGGATGTGGATACAGTTGGGATGAATAGACCACATGCATCAGTAGGTGGTGGTGGTGGTGCCACAAGCATGCAGCATGCAGCACCAGCCCAGGCTGGGACCCAAGCTGCTGACTCAACAGGTCCAGGACAAAGTGCATTGTCATCCAGCCCACACCACAACCTGCACAATCACAACCGCAACCAGCTTATGATGTCCAGTACCCACCAGCAAACGACAAGTGGGATTGGCATCATGTCTCTAAGCATAATATAAAATCATACTGGTCCACAGATGAGTAAGACACCACTGTGCATGACACCTTGTTTCAGACTTTCATAGACTGCAGCAGTTCTAGGAGCATGTCCAGTGACTGTAGATATGTAAATATATAATAGAACATTACTAATATACAACATTTTTGCATGTTTTTTGTTGTAATCATCTTGCTTCTGGGGGAGTTCAACCTAAGGCACATAAAATGGAGGAATATAGCAAATAACGTTGTAGCAGAGATAACACCAGGAGGCAACTCAGGTGAAAACTCGCACACACACACGGCCTTTTAAATCTCTGCATCAAATTCACCTTAACCCTTAAACTGTCCAAACGTAGATCTACAGTGGACCCCCGCATAGCGACCTTAATCCGTGCAAGAGGGCTGGCTGTTATGCGAAATGTTCGGTATGTGAATGAATTTTCCCCATAAGAAATAATGGAAATAAAATTAATCCGTGCAAGACACCCAAAAGTATGAAAAAAATTTTTTTTTACCAGAAAAAAATGTTAATTTTAGTACACACAAACTGAAAAAGGCATGCACAATTACATGACACTTACTTTTATTGAAGATCTGGTGATGATTGATGGGATGGGAGGAGGGGAGAGAGAGTGTTAGTGTTTAGAAGGGGAATCCCCTTCCATTAAGACTTGAGGAGGCAAGTCCTTTTCTGGGGTTACTTCCCTTCTTCTTTTAATGCCACTAGGACCAGCTTCAGAGTCACTGGACTTCTTTCGCACAACATATCTGTCCATAGTGGCCTGTACCTCTCGTTCCTTTATGATTTGTCTAAAGTGGTTCACAACATTGTCATTGTAACAGTCACCAGCATGGCTTGCAATAGCTGTGTGAGGTGATTTTCATCAAAAAAGGTTTGCACTTCAAGCCATTTTGCACACATTTCCTTAATCTTTGAAGTAGGCAATTCCTTCAATTTCTCTCTCCCCTCCTTTGAACCAGTTTCCGCAGGTCTGGCCTCTTGCTCTTGAAGTTGATCTATCAGCTCATCAGTGGTTAGTTCTTCATTGTCCTCCTCCACCAACTCTTCCACATCATCCCCACTAACCTCCAACCCCAAGGACTTCCCCAATGCCACAATTGATTCTCAACTGGTATACTCCTCTCAGGGTTAGCCTCAAACCCTTCAAAATCCCTTTTGTCTACACATTCTGGCCACAGTTTCTTCCAAGCAGAGTTCAAGGTTCTCTTAGTCACTCCCTCCCAAGCCTTACCTATAAGGTTTACGCAATTGAGGATATTAAAGTGATCCTTCCAAAACTCTTTTAGAGTCAATCGGTGTCTGTGGTCACTTCAAAGCACTTTTGAAACAGAGCTTTTGTGTACAGTTTCTTGAAGTTGGAAATGACCTGCTGGTCCATGGGCTGCAGGAGAGAGGAGGGGTATTAGGAGGCAAAAACTTCACTTAATGAAGCTCATGTCCCCATAAAGTCGCTCTGCCACGTCTGTAGGATGACCAGGGGCATTGTCTAACACCAGGAGGCACTTAAGTTCTAATTTCTTTTCAGTTAGGTAATCTTTGACATTGGGGCAAATGCATGGTGTAACCAGTTATAGAAAAAGTCCCTAGTGACCATGCCTTACTGTTTGATCTCCACAGCACACACAAATTATCCTTGAGGACATTCTTTTGCCTGAACGCTCTGGGAGTTTCAGAGTGATACACTAATAAAGGCCTTAACTTTGCAATCACCACTAGCATTGGCACACATCAACAAAGTAAGCCTGTCTTTCATAGGCTTATGTCCTGGGAGTGCCTTTTCCTCCTGAGTAATGTAGGTCCTGCTTGGCATTTTCTTCCAGAACAGGCCTGTTTCATCACAGTTAAACACTTGTTCAGGTTTCAGTCCTTCAGTTTCTATGTACTCCTTGAATTCCTGCACATATTTTTCAGCCGCTTTGTGTCCGAACTGGCAGCCTCACCATGCCGTATCACACTATGTATGCCACTACGCTTCTTAAATCTCTCAAACAACCTTTGCTGGCCTTAAATTCACTCACATCATCACTAGTTGCAGGCCTTTTTTAATTAAATCGTCATGCAACTTCCTAGCCTTTTCACATATGATCGCTTGAGAGACGCTATCTCCTGCTAGCTGTTTTTCATTTATCCACACCAATAAGAGTCTCTCAACATCTTCCATCACTTGCGATCTTTGTTTCGAAAACACAGTTAAACCTTTGGCAAGAACAGCTTCCTTGATTGCCGTTTTCTTGGCCACAATAGAAGAGATGGTTGATTTGGGTTTCTTGTACAACCTGACCAGGTCGGTGATACGCACTCCACTTTCATACTTATCAATGATCTCTTTCTTCATTTCTATAGGAATTCTAACCCTTATTGCTG